CTCTCGCACACACACACACACACACACACACACACACACACACACACACATAATATATATTATATTAATAATATATACAATATATATTAATAATAATGCATTGATTTAAATACTTTTAAGTATTCTGTGGACACATTCAGTCATGAGTGTCCAAACATTTCATTGCTAGTGCACATTTATTTTTTTTATTTTTTGAGATTCGCTCACAATCCTGCAAGATTTTCTTCATCATGTGACCTTTTAAATTCTTGTCTCTTGCAGGTCTGTTAAAGAAGACGAACAGAGGAACTCAGCTGCATAAATACTTCATGAAACGCAGAACGCTGCTGCTGGCCCTGCTGGTGAGATTATAGTTATCATATTAATAAAACCTGCCAAGATGAATATTGCCGTTTTAGTGTTTAATTAGTCAATGATTAAAGCAAACGAGCTCTTGTGTGTTGTTAGGCCAGTGAGGTGGAGCGTCTGACCACTTGGTACAATCCTCTGGGCAGCCAGGAGCTGCAGATCTCCGCCGAACAGTCTGTGGAGACCAGCATCACCAACTGGAGGTCCAAATACATCAGCCTGACCGAGAAACAGTGGAAGGACAACGTTAATCTAGCGTGGAGCATCTCGCCGTACCTCGCACTACAGCTGCCGGCCAGGTGAGACGTTTATCAAACTACACTACTGTTCCAGTGTTTTTTAAAGGTAATTTTAATAAAGCAATAAGCCCCAAGAAGACGTGGTTTACAGTGAATTTATAACAGCTAAGGGGCGTTGTTAGGTACGACGTGAAGCAGAGTGTCTAAAACCCCCTTAGCGGTTATACATTTTTATAAATGCTTTTATTCAACAAGGATGCATCAGATTGATGACAAATAACAGTAAAGACATTTGAAGACGTTGTTTACAGTGAATTTATAACAGCTAAGGGGCGTTGTTAGGTACGACGTGAAGCAGAGTGTCTAAAACCCCCTTAGCGGTTATACATTTTTATAAATGCTTTTATTCAACAAGGATGCATCAGATTGATGACAAATAACAGTAAAGACATTTATAATGTCAGAAAAGATTCTATTTCAAATAAATGCTGTTCCTTTGAACTTTCTATTCATCTGTGAATCCTGAAAAAACAAAAAATATTGGGCAGCACAACTGTTTTCAACATTGATGATAATCAGAAATGTTTCTCGAGCAGCAAATCAGCATATTAGAATGATTTCTGAAGGAGACACTGGAGTAATGATGCTGAAAATTCAGCTTTTATCACAGAAATAAATTATATTTGAACAGATATTCACATAGAAAACAGATATTTTAAATTCTAATAATATTTCACAATTTTAGTTTTTACTGTATTTTTGATCAAATAAAACCTTTGTGAGCAGATATACTTAAAAAAACAGTATAAACTCTAATGTGTGTATTTTTTCAGTTCATGTATTTCCTGTGAATGAATGAAGTGCTCTAATAACACTTGCATGAAACTTATTTTATCTTGTCTTATTTAGAACCATTTGAATAATAGTTTTTGTTTGTGTTAGACCTTCTTCATAATGCCTCCTGATTATGGTTAGCTGTGTAAATGTCTGACATTAGTATCAGCGAGCAATGCATGAAAGCACGAATGAAAAGTTCACACACAAAACAACAGTACCACTCTTACTGCACGATATTTTACAGGTTCAAGAACACAGAAGCCATTTTCTCAGAAGTGACCCGCTTGGTTCGGCTGGATCCGGGAGCCGTCAGTGACGTTCCTGAGGCTGTGAAGGTGAACGTCCAGAACCCAACACAACCACGTGGTTTACAGTGAATTTATAACAGCTAAGGGGCGTTGTTAGGTACGACGTGAAGCAGAGTGTCTAAAACCCCCTTAGCGGTTATACATTTTTATAAATGCTTTTATTCAACAAGGATGCATCAGATTGATGACAAATAACAGTAAAGACATTTATAATGTCAGAAAAGATTCTATTTCAAATAAATGCTGTTCCTTTGAACTTTCTATTCATCTGTGAATCCTGAAAAAACAAAAAATATTGGGCAGCACAACTGTTTTCAACATTGATGATAATCAGAAATGTTTCTCGAGCAGCAAATCAGCATATTAGAATGATTTCTGAAGGAGACACTGGAGTAATGATGCTGAAAATTCAGCTTTTATCGCAGAAATAAATTATATTTGAACAGATATTCACATAGAAAACAGATATTTTAAATTCTAATAATATTTCACAATTTTAGTTTTTACTGTATTTTTGATCAAATAAAACCTTTGTGAGCAGATATACTTAAAAAAACAGTATAAACTCTAATGTGTGTATTTTTTCAGTTCATGTATTTCCTGTGAATGAATGAAGTGCTCTAATAACACTTGCATGAAACTTATTTTATCTTGTCTTATTTAGAACCATTTGAATAATAGTTTTTGTTTGTGTTAGACCTTCTTCATAATGCCTCCTGATTATGGTTAGCTGTGTAAATGTCTGACATTAGTATCAGCGAGCAATGCATGAAAGCACGAATGAAAAGTTCACACACAAAACAACAGTACCACTCTTACTGCACGATATTTTACAGGTTCAAGAACACAGAAGCCATTTTCTCAGAAGTGACCCGCTTGGTTCGGCTGGATCCGGGAGCCGTCAGTGACGTTCCTGAGGCTGTGAAGGTGAACGTCCAGAACCCAACACAACCAAATGATGAAATCAGATATTTCTTTCTTTCTTTCTTTCTTTCTTTCTTTTAGAATATTTATATATTATAGCATACAGCAACAACAACAACAATAATAATAATAATAATAATTCCTTTATTTTTATAGTAAAGCATTTTTATAGTTTTAAAGCAAGCTTCTCAAGCTGCTTAAGAAAAACAGAACAATAAAACAAAAGATTGATATACTATAACATTTATAATAGATATTTACATAATATTTCTATTAATCAAAGAATACTGAAAAAAATGTATCACGGTTTCCACAAAAAATATTAAGCAGCATAACAGTTTCAACACTGATAATAATAATAAATAGGAATAAATTACAATTATAAATAATGTATTGTAGCAAATTAGCTCAAAAGGGAAATGTATATAAATAATTACAGTTAATTATGATTAATTAAAATTATTTATATCAGCTGCCAGTAGTAACTGTAGCAGAATTAAATTGCCATCAACCAATCTGTTCGTCCAGCGAACATTTAGTGTTAGTTCATATCAACTCTAGGAAAGGATATTTCCGTGGCCACAGAAAATACTTTCATACAGTATTAATGCATTAGAGCATGTAATAAGGATCAAAATAGTAAAGGGACAATTAATTTGCAAGGCAGAATCAGAAACTCATGTAATTTTTATTAAGAGTTTTATTAACTAAACACTAACACAAACTAGTCTAACTAACAAACAAACAAACAAACAAACAAACAATCACTCATGGAGGGGAAAAGGCAAATGAGGCTCGATGGATGAAGCCATCAGGAAAAACCAGAGAATGAAGCTATGAAAAGAGTCAGTTAACCACCTGAGTGAATCCATCAGCGCCGTTTTAGAACGGGTTCTACAGCTTATATAAACCTCTGTCTCGTTTAGTTAAATGTACGATACCTGCATTGCCTTGGCCTGGAACGAGCGCACGGATGCAGTCTCGGATGAAAGTCTTGATGGTTTGGAGGTTCGGTGGTGTAGGAGTCGCGATCACCTTCTTCCGGGTTTGAAGAGTGATTTCTTTTTCTTTTGTTCTTTTTCTTTTTTTTTCTTTCTTTCTTTTTCTTTTGTTCTTTCTTTCTTTCTCTTTCTTTCTTTATACCATTTTATTTATTTATTTATATCCATTTTATTTATTTATACCCGTTTTATTTATTTATACCCATTTTATTTATTTATTTATACCCATTGTATTTATTTATTTATTTATACCCATTTTATTTATTTATTTATTTATACCTATTTTACCCGTTTTATTTATTTATACCCATTTTATTTATTTATTTATTTATACCCATTTTATTTATTTATTTATACCCATTGTATTTATTTATTTATTTATACCCATTTTATTTATTTATTTATATCCATTTTATTTATTTATTTATACCCATTTTATTTATTTATTTATTTATACCTATTTTATTTATTTATTTATTTATACCTATTTTATTTATTTATACCTATTTTATTTATTTATTTGATACCTATTAATTAGATTAAATGAATTGATTAAAATAAATAAATAAAATGTGATTTCAAAATTAGGTTAAAATTTAAATAAATAATTGCAATAAAATTTTCTAACATCACTTTTTTTTAAATTTATATTCATCTAAATGTATTGTTATATGAATCACATTTTTTTAATTTATTTGAGTCTAATTATTTATTCATTTTAAGTTCTTTTAAAAAGTATTTTAATGATTTATTTGTTTATTTAATATGAATATAATAATTGCATAAATTCTCACTCAAATGTGCATCTACCGCTGCCTGTAAACGTGTGTCCCGCTGCAGTTTTTAGTGACGTGGCACACGATCGACGCTGATTCTCCTGAACTGAGTCATATCTTGTGTTGGGCTCCGGCCGATCCTCCCACGGGACTCTCGTATTTCTCCAGCATGTATCCGCCGCATCCGCTGACAGCACAGTACGCCGTCAAAGTCCTGCGCTCCTTCCCTCCTGTACGCCACACCTGTCATTACACTCATGTTATTATATGTCTTTATCTGAAGTCAGTTTGAGTGCTATTATTAATGCATGTTTCTCTCTCTCATATTTTCAACAGGATGCTATTCTGTTTTACATCCCACAAATTGTTCAGGCCCTCCGTTATGACAAGGTATAGTGTGTGTGTGTGTGTGTGTGTGTGTGTATGAAGTTTAAAAGTAATAAGGACAAATAATGCCAAAATGATTTGCATGTTCTGAGTGAGATTTAAAAAGGTATAAATCAAGTTGCATGCATCATTTTAATGTTTTT